GCCACTGCACTCCAGTCTGGGCGACACAGTGAGACTCCAACTCAAAAAAAAAAAAATTGTTAATCGTCCCTATTCCATCCCTTTCTACTTATTCTACGAATGAGGTGAGAATGGAAAGAAACTGGGGGCAGGATTGCTGAGTTAGGGTCAGTAATCAATCTAATTCTTGCTTTTTTTCAAGAAACAACTTAATCAAACGATTAAAAGCCATCCAAAATACTGGGAAAGGTTATGAGACCCAAAACCTCTACATAATGCTGAACAGACTTGATGACTACCAGAAAAAGGTGATGGGGGTCTGGACTGAAAAGCAGAAATCTCTAGAGCAGAAACGGATTCAGTGCTTGAGGAAAATGGTGTCCTTATTTGTCCAGGTAACCTGTTTTCCATTCCTTCTCTCTAGAGTGTTGTAAAAAAAATGACAGTTACCTGGAGACACCATGTATATTCATTTCCTAGGACTGTTGTAACAAATTACCACACACTTGATGACTTAAAACAACAAAAATTTGTTTTCTCACGGTTCTGGAGACCAGAGGTTCATGGAACCAAGGTGTTTGCAGGGTTGGTTCCTTCTGGACGTTCTGAGGGAGAAACGTGTTCCATGCCTCTCTCCTAGATTAAGATGGCTGTTGGCAGTCCTTAGTTTTCCTTTGCTTGTAGCTGTATAATGCCAATCTCTGCCTTCCTCCTTCAAATGGCTTTCTGAGTATGCCTTCTGTTTTCTCTTCTGTCTCTTATGAGGCCATGTGTCACTGGACTTCGGAACCACTTGGTAAGTCCAGGATGATCTCATCTTGAGATATTTAACTTAATTATGTCTGCAAAGACCCTTTTTTCAAATAAGGACATAGTCACAGGTTCGGAGTGGATATATCTTTTGGGGGATTCAACCCACTACACCATGACTTCAGTGAAACTCCTAAATTGACAACAGCAATACTTCCTGTTTTCCGACGAGAATAGGAAAGACTTCAAGAAATGCTCAAATTCTTCCCGGTCACTCCATATCTACCAACTTCCAGATGGGAACCTCTTGAAGTCACTGCTCTCTGATTCTGAGTGGCTAATTCTTTCCTCAAAACTATCAGAAAATAGACTGGGTGCAGTGGCTCAAGCCTGTAATTCCAGCACTTTGGGTGGCCGAGGCAAGAGGATTGTCTGAGGCTGCAGGTTCAAGACCAGCCTGGGCAACCATGTTGCCTAGGTGAGACCTCGTCTCTACAGTAAATCAAAAACTTAGCCGGGCGTGGTAGTGCACACCTGAAGTTACAGCTCTATGGAAGGTTGAGGCAGAAGGATCGCCGGAATCCAGCAGGTTGATGCTGAGGTGGCCTTGAGCTTACCACTGCACTTCAGCCTGGATAACAGAGTGAGATTTTAACTCAAAAAAAAAAAAACAAAAAAAACTATCAGGAAATAAATATTATGTATCAATAAAAAAAATTTTTAAAACTCAGAAAACAGAACAAAACAGAATACTATCAGGAAGTTAATTTTAATATTATGAGTTTGCAAGAAAGGAGATAAAGTTTGTTTAGCTTGCATACATAGCACCAGGCACAGAAAATCCCATTAAATTCTGACATCCACTCACTATGTCCTAGAGGCCCCTCTGAGATAATCATCAATATGCTTTTGAGAGCAATAGTGACCTTCCAAAAGGTTCTAGAGCTGAGATTAGAGGTTTTTTTTTTAACATTTTTTATTTTAAAACTGTGGGGTACAGTTAAGGGTTAGGTATACAAATATGCATCATTCAGGCACCCTTGTTGATAAGGGGTGTCTCCCTGTCCCCAGACAGATGTTGACTACCATTAATCTCACCTCCCTTCTCCTCCCTATCCCCCCCCATAGTCTCCCACCACTGTCAATCCTTTTCTTATAGTATTATGGAGATTAGAGTTTTTTTGCCCTTGGATTATGTGCTCCGGAGTCCTTAGCACAAGTTGGAGTTTTAATAATACCACAAGCTAAGGTTCTAGAAACACTTTACATCTATATATCCTTTGCATTCATAAACATTAATCAATTTATAAGATGATCTTACTTGCAACTTTGGAAGGTACAGAGAAAAAAAGTTTTTTTTCATCACAGCCTGATCCAAGTCAACCATATATTCTGAATTTTTCAGAAGTTATATATTACATATTATAGCTCTTTATTTTAAAGAAAATGAATATGCTCCAGTTTTTGATTTGCCAAAAATACTATAGATAGAGTAGATGAGTTGGCAGTGACATGATATAACAGAAATCACAATGCCAAGAACATTTCAGGGGTTGAATAAAGGTCTGGGGTCATGGAAGCCAGAATCCAGAAGATGAGGTAGGGGATCATAGCCTAAAGAAGGCAGAGGAAATAACAAAAGGGATAAGAAGATAGATATCAATAAATACCACACACTGAGCCGGGCGTGGTGGCTCAGGCCTGCAATCCCAGCACTTTGGGAGGCCGAGGCAAGAAGATTGCCTGAGTTCAGGGGTTTGAGACCAGCCTGGGCAACTTGGTGAGACCTCGTCTCTGCAGTAAATCAAAAAATTAGCTGGGCATGGTGGCGTGTGTAGTTCCAGCTACTTGGAAGGCTGAGGCCAGCAGATCGAGGTTGCAGTGCACATGAGCGTGCCACTGCACTCCAGCCTGGGCAACAGAGTGAGACTCTGACTTAAAAAAACAACCTCACACTGAATTAGGTGGGGGTCAAGAGGGTTACCTCTGCTACCAGATTGTCGAGTTCCAATCAGCTTCACTGTATGCTAGCCAGGTGACCTTAGGCAAGCCACTTACGTTTGCTGAGCTGCAGATTCTCCATATGTAAGACAAGGATAATAATAGTACCTACCTCATAAGGTTGTTATAAATACCAAATGAACTGATGTATGGAAAATGCTTAGCTCAGTGTCTGGCATGCAGTCTGTATTCAGTCAATGTTAGCTATTGCTACATTTGCATAGTTCTTCACAACTTATAAAGTGCTTCCATATATACTATCTTATGCAATTCTCACAACAACCCTGGGTTGTTATCCCTGTTTGAGAAATGAGGAGAAACAAGTGCCGATAAATTATGCAACGAACCCAAAGTCTCGCAGCACAAAAATGAGAGCACTAGGATTGGAGCTTAAGTGGGACCAAAATTTGTATATATCAGAGCTGCCACCTCTGAAATTATGCGTGTTGAATGTGGGGTGGAGGAGGAAGAGGATTTGCAAACCAATGGAAAAGGAGTCTAGGACAAAGTCTAGGACAAGGTCAGAAGACCTTTCTAAAGGTTCTGTCCTGGACCAGGCATGGTGTAATCCCAGCACTTTGGGAAGCTAAGCAGAGGACTATTTGAGGCCAGAAGTTCAAGACCAACCTGGGCAACATAGTGAGATCCTGTCTCTAAAAAGAAAACATAAAAATTCTATCCCTTTCTTTTCATGGCTTCCTTTTTTCTGACTTAATTTTTTTTTTTGTAGCTCAAAGAGATATATAAATTGAATCTTAGTCAACCTATCACCTTGATCATCAGCAAAAAGCAGATACCTGTCTCTACCAAATTTGTTCAATGGCCGTTCTTAGAGTTACTAGTAGAAGAGGACAGAAAATCTGACATACTCAAGAAACGGAGGTGTGTGCTAGAAAGATTCACATTAAACTTTGTTTGGATGGTATGTGGAACCTAATATTTTCTTTTCCCTGCTCAAGAAATTTCCTTTCCCCACAATTATGATACAATGCAGTGGAGAGTCGAAAGAAGCATTAATTTCCTTAGCTAATTTGGCAAGAGTGTTATTTACATATATTTCTACTTAAATATTCAACACCTGATTTGAGTTCCTCCAAAGAAAATGAAGGTTCTTTACTAAGAAACAAATTATTTTAAGACTATGTGGCTGGGCTCGGTGGCTCAGGCTGTAATCCCTTGCCTTGGGAGGCCAAGGTGAATGAATTGCCTGAGCCCGCGAGTTTGAGACCTGCCTGGGCAACTTGGCAAGACCTAATCTCTACAATAAATCAAAAAAAATAGCTGGGCATGGTAGTGTGCGCCTGTAGTTCCAGCTACTTGGAAGGCTGAGGCGGAAGGATTGCCGGAGTCCAGCAGGTAGAGGCTGCAGTGGCCGGGAGTGGTCACTGCACTCCAGTCTGGGTGACAGAGTGAGACTCCAACTCAAAAAAAAAAAAAGGAACATGTGACCAGGTGTGGCTCCTGCCTGTAATCCCAGTACTTTGGGAGGTTGAGGTGGGAGGATTGCTTAAGCCCAGTTGTTCAAGACTAGCCTGGGTAACATAGTGAGACCCCCAACTCTACAAAATTTAAAAGTTAGCCAGGCGTAGTATTATATACCTATAGTCCCAGCTACTCAGAAGGCTGAGGAGGGAGGATCGCTTGAGCCTGGGAACCAGAGGCTGCAGTGAGCCATGGTTGTGACACTGTACTCCAGCCTAAGCAACAGATGAAATCCTCACTAAAAAATAAGTAAAATTTTTTTAAAAATGTAATTGAGAAACTTAGAGGCATTAACTCCCCTTTTTTTTTTTTAAGAAAGCAGGAGCAGCCGGGCTCGGTGGCTCAGCCTGTAATCCCAGCACTTTGGGAGGCTGAGGTGAGTGGATTGCCTGAGCCCGTGGGTTC